ATTTATTGTTGACTTCTTTTGATAAAAACTTATGATAAAATTTGTCAGCTACTGGGAGATTTCTAAAGAAGTTTATTATTTTTGATTTAAAACTAGTTTGTTACTTCTTGTTGCAATGTTTTTTATTTTAATTGGTATCTAAAACTTATTTTTGTTTAAACGCAATTTTTATTCACTTTAATTCAAATTTATCCAATCAAAATTTAATTTCATAAATCTTAATATAAAGTTGCATAACTTTACATGCAAAGAATATAAATTGTAAAGATTGTATTTGAGCTCTAGAAAATAACAATGGCATGCTAATATCTGACGGGTCTGAAATGTGCAACTTGCTGAACAAACAGTTTTTCTCTGCATATAGCAAGGGACCTCCTGGGTGATCCTACTATTCTCCAGCTACACTCAAATGAGTTTCTCAGCATAAATGAAAACATCTTTTCTCAAGCTGCTGTCATTTTGTGTTTTTCTGAGCTGGACAAATACAAACCACCTAGCATTAATGGATTCCATCCGTATATCCTCTCGGTAGCCCTATCCATACTATCTATGCTGTTTCGTTAATATAAAACATCTTTCACTATTGGTGCTGTTCCTACTTGCTAGAAGCAAGCCAACATAACACCTGTTATTAAAAAGCAGGATAAACCCAGCAAACTGCCATCCAATCTCACTCACTACTGTTCCTTGCAAGGTGATGGAGCGCTTAATTCGTGATTGTATGCTGAAACATATGATTGACCACAATTTGCTTGAAATCAATCAACATGGGTTTGTTCTTGGAAAATTGTGCTTGACGAACTTGATTGTAACTTTTGATATCATTTCCACAGCGCTTTAATCTAGTCTATAAATCATCATGATTCTTTTGGATTTTGCTGAAGCTTTTAATAAGGTCAGTCACAGGCTTCTAGTTGTCAAACTACGCACATATAGCTTTGACACAAGTATCTGTGGATAGATAAAATTTTTTTTAACTGGCTGCTGTCAAAGAGTTGTGCAAGGTGAGTGTTTCTCTGATTGGTTGGAGGTTCTCAGTGGAGTTCCGCAAGGTTCTATACTTAAGCCTCTCCTCTTTGTGATCTTTATTAACAACATGCCAGACCTCACTCATGTTTGTAAGCTGTTTGCCAATAACACAAACCTAATGGAGTTTATAAAGAATACCTCAGACTATCAAACTTTCCAAAATGACATTAAATGTCTCGTTGAATGGGCCCATACCTAGAGAATGAGTTTTAACATAGACAAGTGTAAAGCTATGTTCTTTAACAAAAGAGTTAACAACCGCTTCAACACAGCTTTTATTAATAACCTACCAGGTTTGCACATAATCTTTACCACGACTACCTTGGCAACCACAGCCTTGGCGAGACCAGCTCAAAGAGCTACCTCAGTTTCATTGTCAACAACCACCTCAAGTGGCAGGATTAGGTCACATTCTCTGTTGCCAAAGCTAACATGGTGCTTTTTCTTCACCAATTGTGTTGTACCTGACTAGAAATTACTTCCAAATTCCATCATATCTGCTGCATCATTGAACAACTTTAAAAAACAACTATGTATATATTTTTCTGAAAGTTTATTACAAGAAAAAAAGAACTGACATTTATCATTGCAGAGCTTTGTTAATTGTCCTGCTTGCAAATGCTTAAACATTTGTTACAAATTACTCATACTATTATAATGTGCCGCAAAAATTTCTAGTTTTTAAGTTTCTTTTTAAAGACAATATTTTAACTTTAACAATTTAAATTTATGAATTAAAGATTTTTAATTTTCAAAATTTTTTTTATCAACTACAACAACAACAAAATTATTTATTACATATTAGTTTTTTAGATTTATCATAAAAAGAATGTTTAGAAGTGCTAATTTATTTTATGAGTTCTGGGCTGGTATTTTGTTAATGCGAATTGTTTAAAAACTTCCACAAAGAGTAAAAATTTATTTCGTATAAATGAAGGAATCGGCAGCATTTTATTTGTCGGAATTGGTTCATCTTAAGACAGCTGCTCCATGCATATAAGAACGTAAAATATGGTCTGAAAAGTTAGTTTTTTGATGACTGATATTCCGTGTACGAATGCTTTTTTATGAATTTAGCAAAGCCTTTATTTTATTGTACTAATTGTAACAACATGACATTTCTCAATTGTGTATAAGTACCTTCCATAAAAAACTATAATTGTAATATATAAATAGCGCTATTGCAAAATATAATTTTGAATTCAGACATTTAGAGCAGAGTTAACATATATAATTATATAAAATGTTAATTTGTTGTGATGAAATAACCAATAGTACTGAAGTAAGCGGTCCCTAAATGCCTGGTTATTGTGTACTTATGACTAACACCCTTCAGGATTTATTGTTTATAAAATTTTTCCCCATGCCCCCCCCTCTTATACCTTGCCCTTATACCTTGCGCCAGGGGGGGGGAGGGGAAAGTTGCGTTAATATATTAAAGTGTAACTTTAGTACGCAATTGTTCTATTTTTAACATATTATCTCTCATATTTATATATAATCTTTCTTGATTGGCAGAGTTTAAAATAGCGTAAGTTACTTTTATTATTTACAACTTAAGTTATAACTAAAGTTTAAGTTGTAATAAGCAATAACGTTTTTAATACTATTAAGATATTTCTTTAAGTATATTTTTACTTAAAATGATACTTAAAAAAGTAAAAGTTAAAAAGTAAGAGAAAATGCAACATTACAATATCTAAATCACTTGAATTAGTCAAAGAAAACAATTTAATACGTTCATGCTGACGTTAAAATACGTGTTAATTTTAATTGTTAAATACTATAAAAGCTTAAAACAAACTTGTTTTAAAAATATAATTAGCCTGGGTTAATGTAAAACAGATTCGTGATGCTGTTTCGTGTTGATTTATACAGTTTATAAAATAAAACGCGTTTAAAATAAAATGAAGCAAATAAATAAAATTGATCTATTTAATAGTCTAAAACAAAACTTCATATTTGCGCCTATATACCTATACGAGTTTATAATCTATAGACCAAACAAAGCAAAAAAACATTAGATACCACGTCTTTTATAAATTATTGTTTCCTAATCAAGCGTACTATTAAAAATTTAAGTATAATTAAGTTTTTCATTCAAATGGTTTTTAAGCTGATGTTTTCATTCAATTTTTTTTTTGTTCTAATTGTTTTCCAAAAAAAAAGTGGAACAAAAAATTTTGTTTAATAAATCGAATTATATTAAGTATAAGATAATGCTTAAATTATTTTTTTAGAAAAAAATTGTTTGAACAGAAGTAAAATAATTTATTAAATTTTATTTAAATTTTTTATAATTTTTATTTTAAATTGCAATTTGCAATCGTTGCTTTGATGTTTGCAATAGAATGTTTCTACTTTTAAAACTATTTTCAAGAAAAAATATATAAATCAAAACGTTAATAAATTTTACGATTTACGAAAAAAAAAAATTTCTTCATTCTCCCTTGTTTCATCAAACTATTTTCAATTTTTCAATTTTTTTTTCAATTTCAAATTTCAATCACAAAATTATTTGAATAAGTGAATTTTAAGGCTAAAGTTCTCTTGTTCAAATAGATTTCTTTTTAAATAAAATTCCCGAAAAACAACTTGCATATTTATAGAAAATGTTTAGTCTAGATGTCACTATAAATAAAATGAAAATATAAAAAAATGATGTCGCGTTTTTTATATTCTATTCGACAATTTATGTTTTATTATGTTTTAACAACATGTAAAATCTAAATTAAAACATATCTATGTCTAACTTTTGAGAGTATATTAAAAAAATTAATATAATTGTTAAATTAATACTTGAGTAGCTGTAAGTTACTATCTTAACTTAACTGGTTGTTTTGATTTAGGTTATAAGTTCATTTACTGTGATATACTCTATCCATTCAGTAAAGTTAACTAAATATAACTTCAATAGTTTCAAGGTCGTTAAAAACGAAAAACGTGAAATTAAAAAAGTTGCAGGTTTCTAATATTACAATTTTAATAATAGAAATTTTATTTAATAAAAGCGAATTAATATATATTTTATTATACTTAAAGTATTAAAAATAATTATATAAAATTGTGTATAAAATAATAATTTAAATCATTATTAATAAGTTAATTTGGAGCAACATTTTTTTTAAAAAAAAGATAAATGTTTTGTTAAAAAAAATAAAATAAAGAAAAAATTCTTTTTAACTTTTGTCTTCTTAGTAATTTAATTTAAAAAGTGCTTTACGTTGAATAAAAATCTCTGCGCAAAAGAGCAAGATCATGCGCACAACATCATGCATCGTGAATAGAAATTCAAAACAAACTTTGCGTGACGTACTTTACTATGAAAACATTACTTTTAAGAGTTGTCAAAACTCAAAAAGCTAAATTAGAAAAATAGTAAATAAACAACAAAAAAAGTAAACCAATCGCAAAAATATGTTTTAAGAAAAAACTAATTGCGAAAGTGTAACAAGCAATTGCGATTCGCAATTGCAATACGCTTAATTCAAGCCTTGCTATAATTCAAGGATTATCTTTTTCCAGATATTTCCGGATATTTTTCTCAACTTCTAGTTTTTCCGTATATCCAAAATGTTTTCCATACATACAAGTTTAGTTATACATTTTTGTAATATATTTGTTTTTTAAGCTTTTTTACTCATTGCTCATACAAAAATTGATAAAATAAAAAAAAAAAAAAATGGAAACAACTCAGCTAAAATCAGAATCAAGGCGAATATAAGGGAAAACGTATTGCGGATTTTTTCCATATATTTTACCCAAACAATTTCCAGATTTTTAAAATATGACCAGGATGATCTATGATTATTATATACTCTAATTTACAGAAATCTATTTTAAAAACTTCCAAATGCTAATTGATTCACTTGAGAGAACTAGATGTCCTGTACTGCCAGACAATTTTAATGTTACATTGCTGCCTGATTAATGTTTTTCTGATATGTACTTGTTAGTTTCTAATTGTTTAGGCTTGTATATGATCGTGAAACTGGAAAACCAAAAGGGTATGGGTTTTGTGAATACAAAGACAGTGAAACTGCACAGAGTGCAATGAGAAATTTAAATGGTACAGAAATACATGGCCGCCAATTGCGTGTTGATAGTGCTGCAAGTCAAAAAGGAAATGGGGTTGAGGATCCAAAAGGTTTGATAACTTATGTGTTAAGTTTGAACAGATTTACTCTAATTTTAATTTGTTCAATAAGAAATAAAATAAGAAAATAAAAATAGTAAACATGACTTAACTAGAGTTTTTGTTTTTTTTAAGTACTAAATATTAAAAACTGTATTTTTGTATGTAAGAATTTTTTCTCTACCAACTGTACTTTTTTTTTTTTTAATCTTTTTATTTTTTTTTTTTTTTGTAGCTTTTTCCTGCTGATAAGAAGCCATTGCAATGAATGAATTATTTTTAAATAAATTTGAAATTATCATTTGCGCATTTACACATTTTTTTTCTTTCTATTATTGAATTGTAAGAGAATCATTAAATGACAATCCGTCTTAATGAAGGCAAATAATAAAAAAAAGCAATGCTTTCATTTTTCAATAGCATTCATCAAACAATTTCTTTTATTATTAAGTATTCAGTTTAAATTTTTTTAATATTGTCAGGCTTTTACAGGAAGACGTGCAATTTCATGTCTTTATATGACCACGCAAAAAAAAATGTTTTAACAATTTGACCACGGCATATTTTTAAAATTTAAAAACGCGCTACAAAAACTTACCTAAACTTATTTGAAAAAAAAATTTAAAAAGATAATAAATATTAACGAAAGAGAAAATAAAAAAAAATACTTAGTTAAAGCAAAAACACAAAAAAATAAATATATATATATATATATATATATATATATATATATATATATATATATATATATATATATATATATATATATATATATATAATGCAACTAAAACAAAACTCATCAAACTAAAATGCTTAGTCTAATCAATTTACGCATTAGAAAACCTTTTCAATCTTTGTTTCAACGTTTTTATATATTTTTTATTTGTTTAATATGTTCAAAAGTTAAATATTTTTCATAAAAAATACATAGTTATATGAATAAAATAAAAAAACATTTTATAAATACTTTTTTTTTAAATTAATTAGAAGTGTTTTTTTTTTTACTTCATTAAAAGCGTTTCGATAATATAAAAGCATTTAAGATCAAACTTTTTAAATTGTAACGATTTTCTAAAACTTTTTTTTAACAAAATTTTGTTTATCTTTTTAAATGCATTAACTTTAATCATTCTTATATTTAAATTCGTTAAAGAGACTTTCGTAGTCGTAGAATGTCATCATTTATAAAAACAAAACAATTTTTTATTTTTTAATAAGATTTATTTTAGAAATGAACACTTAAACAATTTATGTTTTAAATTAAAAAAATATATACAACAGTCAATTATATTTAAAAAACAAAACTTTTTTTCAGTAAATTGTTACTTTATTTAAAATCGTTTTGCTAATATAAAAACATTAGTTAAGAAGTTTTGATGTGATTAATTTCACTTTTTTAGAATATTTTTTATTTAGCGCGTTTCTAAAATGTTTTTTGAATAAGCGGTGGTCAAACCGTCATAGCAAAATGTAACTTGCGTGGTCATATAAAGACGTGAAATCGCACGCCTTCCTGTGAAAGTCTGATTGTATAAAATTTGTTTTGATATTAAAAAGAAAATTCAATATTAAATTACATGGGTATTATCAAACTTCTTTTTTTAATTAAATGATAATCTGTGAGCATGAGCGTAGTTTTAAACAAATTAACATTAGCATAAGGCAGGTAATTTGAGTATTTATTTGCGATATTAAAATTAAAAAGTTTGTTTATTTTAATTAAATTTATTGTTTTGAAAAGAATATGAATTTGTTAATTTTTAAGTATTAAAAATTAACGAACTTGTATTTTGTGTGTGTTTAGTTTCAATTATGAAGACCTATTACTCAGATGAAAATCTAAACAAGGAAAAAAATAAAATTTTTGACCATCTAAAAAAAACAATTGAATGTTGTTTCCATGTGTTAGCCAGTCAAATTGACCGCGCTGTATATATATATATATATATATATATATATATATATATATATATATATATATATATATATATATATATATATATATATATATATATATATATATATATATATATATATATATATATACCCTTATAGTGTAGTCGAAAGAGCATTTTAATGTAAAAAAAGTCTCTTACGACTACAATTTTAATTACCTCGTCTCTTAAGCTGTATTTGATTGTCATCGAAATGTCAAAGCAATTAATTCATGCGGAAGTATATTAAATTTAATTGTTTTTTAAAAAATTTTTAAAAAACCGCAATTATAACGACTAGAAAGTTTTTTTTAATTAGTGGTGTTTTTGTTATTGATTTAATAAAAAACATTTTTAAAACATGCGTAAATGTTGCTACATCGACTATCTTATAGCTTGACTCGCAACGGAGTGCTGCTACATTGACTGACAAATAGCCTGACTCGCAACAGAGTGCTGCTATATCGACTGACAAATAGCCTGACTCGCAACGGAGTGCTGCTACATCGACTGACAAATAGCCTGACTCGCAAGGGAGTGCTGCTACATCGACTGACAAATAGCCTGACTCGCAAGGGAGTGCTGCTACAACGACTGACAAATAGCCTGACTCGCAAGAGAGTGCTGCTACATCGACTGAGGGTTTGGTTTGGCCAGGCAGTCTATCAATTAAAAAAAAAAATTTAATTTTTAAAACTTTTTCTGGTCTGGTTTATTAACGCGCTTTTTAAAACTACAGTTTATGGGAAACATTTTTTGATGCCACGCAAGAGACATGCAAGAGTATATATATATATATATATATATATATATATATATATATATATATATATATATATATATATATATATATATATATATATATATATATATATATATATATATATATATATTTACAAAAGGTACTAATAATAAGACTTCTGCTGGCATTATTGTTTTTTTTGTGTGTGTGTGTGGAATGAAAAATAGGACACATTTTTTTAATGTAGCACTGAACGTTTTGAGCTAAACAAAATATTTATAGGTAATTACAAATATGGATAAATGGCTAGCAAGTGGAACAATAAGAGAAATTAAGCAGAGATATTTCTAAACGAAATTCTGATTCGCCTCTAAAATAAATTAAGAAATTACCGAATCATTGTGTATTGAACCTTGCATATCCTATCAAAATACAAAGACATGCTTTTTACAGATTACTGGTCTGATATACAATGTTAGAAAAAGTTTAAGACATTTGACTGTTTGACAGTTTCAATAACTGGTCATGGTTATTCTGTTTGCAAGGCCAAAAATTATTTAGGTGTCAAAAAATCTCAGGGATTAAATTAGGCTAGTGAGTTTAGGCTTGGTAATGTCTTGCAAAGACTATGGTGAAACAAAAGAGAAAATAAAGCAAAAGGAAAAAATTTATGTTAACACATTCCAAAAAAGAATGATCTGTTTTCTGACTTAGAAGAACTAATATCTTTCCAGGTAAAAAATGATTTAGACATCATTCATATTTTACAATTAGATTATGCGTGTGCTGATATAGTCTATCACATTTCTAATGAAATGCGTACAAAGCCTGTAAACTATATAAAACATAATGATTGTAAAATAGGATTTATGATAGATAAATTTACTAAAATTAGCTAAAAATCTGCTCTGTCAATCTTAATGTGAATGAACATTCCAGAAATACATATGGTTAATAGTATATTTTTTGACCTTATTGAATTAGAAATTACAGAAGCCCCTAATTTTGGCAGATCAAATAAAGAAATACAAACTCTTATCTAAGTGAATTTTCTAGGTTTTAACAATTTTTTTTATTACATAATTGGGTCTTTTCTGCTTGTGGTATGCTTCTAATATGCAAAAGAAATTAAATGAAATGAAGGTTTCTTTATTTGATACAAATTTAAAAAAAACTTGATGATTTCATAGAAAATTTGCAGAATAAGATTCATGTAGTCAACTTAATGTCTAATGTTGCAAAAGAGCGCTCGCTTCATAAACGAGTGGTTCTGAGTTCGATCCCCACCACGCCCCTGGTAGTACTGCGCTCAACTCGTTTCTCCGCGCAGCGGCCTTGTTCCTCAAGGTTCATGTTTCGAAGTTATAGAGTTGAAAGAGGGTTATAGCCACAAATAAGTAGCCTTCTTGTCTGTAGTGGCCTTCTTGGCCTTAAGGAGGTGAATTGAAATTTTAAAAAAAAAGTTACATTAAACAATAAGTTAAGACTTTCAATATTTTTGAAAGTACATCAGTAAAAGGGTTTTGTGAGTATTTTGCTACTGGTGGCTGTAATAAAGTTCCTAATGATCTTCAGCCTCTGAGCTGATGAATACCTTGATTGTTTCTACAGCTGTAGAAACTTAGACAAAAACATTACAAAAGTAATGCTTTTGTTAAGTAAGTTTTTTTATTAGGGGTCATAAAGTACGTCACGCTAAATTTATATTTTGAATAGAATCTTTGCTCTCTTGTGCAGAAATTTTTGATTTAAAATGATATCAAGTTCAAATATTTTCTATAAATACGCAAGTTGTTTTTAGGAATATTATTTAAAGAGAAATTTACTTGAACAAAAGAATTTTGGTCTTCTAAAATACTCTTATTCAAATAATTTTGCGATTGAAATTGAAAAAAATGTGGAAAAATTTAAAAGAATTTTAATGTTCAATAATATTAAATTTAATTCAACAGCATCCGTAATACCCAGTATAGCGATAATTGCTTCTGAAAGTCAAACGTATATTTAGCAACAGTAACAATATCAGATTTAGAACGTAGTGCAAGTGAGGAAAAAATTTAAATCGTAAACGTTTTGAGTAGTTCACTTACTTTGTTTCTTGAAAATAGTTTTAAAAGTAGAAACATTCTATTGCAAACATGAAACCAGTGATTGCAAAAGTTTAAAATAAAAAATTATATTATAAAAAATTTAAATTTAAATTAATAAATTATTTTACTTCTGTTCAAAGAAATTTTTTTCTAAACATAATTTAAGCATATTCTTAAATATAATTCGATTTATTAAACCAAATTTTTTTCGTTTCACTTTTTATTACAAAACAATTTGAATTAAAAAATTTGAATGAATAAAAATTCAAAAACCATTTGAAAAACTTAATTATACTTCAATTTTTAATAGCTAGATCAAAAAACAATTAATTATAAAAAATGTTGTATCTAATGTTTTTTTGTTTTATGTTGATAATGTTTTAATTTATTAAATAGAACAGTTATATTTGTTTACTTCAATTTATTTTAAACCTGTTTTATGTTATTAAGGTTATAAACTATATAAAACAGCAATAAAACAGTGTCACAAAGTTGTTATATATATATATATATATATATATATATATATATATATATATATATATATATATATATATATATATATATACATATACATATATATATATATGCATGCATGCATTTTATAATGGCATAGTAAACTAATTTATCACTACTTTGCATTATAAAAAGAGTTTGTTTTTATACGCACTGACATAATTGCTTAATATAAAGATTTAAAACAAGTTAATAGTAAGTTAAATTATAGATTTAAAAGTTGAATGTTGAGGAGAATGTAGAAAAATTAATGGATAATTAAATTTTCTGTTCTCCCCTATTCTGGGTATTATGCATACATATACAGTCCTCGGAATTAAGATCAGCAATTAGCAATGCTGACCAAACTGCTGATCTTAAAGTGTTTGATCAGCAGTTTCTTGTTTCTATGTTTTATGGTAAGGCCTTTGTATCAATTTTTTTTTTTTTTTTGCCAACTTGATGCCGACCTCTAAAAAATAAAGGTCGGCAAATTATTGCAGACCTCATTTTTCCTGATTCCTAGGGTTGCATATATATATATATATATATATATATATATATATATATATATATATATATATATATATATATATATATATATATATATATATATATATATATATACTAATATATATACATATATGTATATACTAATATATATATATATGTATATACTAATATATATATGTATATATATTAGTAAGAAAACATCAATTAATACGAATTCTCATAATACAATTAATAATTTATTATTAGATATTTTTGCTGGATTATGGTTATCAGCATCATCAGCTTGTAAAAATTATCCTTATCTTAAAAATTATAATAATTTTTACGAGCTGATGATGCTGGTAACCATAATACAGCGAAAATTTTTCATAATAAATTATTAATTGAATTTGTATTAGTTGATGTTTTCTTACTAATATAACATATACACTCATAGAGGATGTCAACACTATATATATATATATATATATATATATATATATATATATATATATATATATATATATATATATATATATATATATATATATATATATATATATATATATATATATATATATATATATATACACACACATAAATATATTTTTATGTCTTTATATAGCTTTTATGAAAGAAATATCGCCTTATGGACAAGCAGTAAACCCAGATAAAGCTCCTGAAACAATAACTAATGCTGTTGCCAGTCTTCCTCCTGAACAAATGTTTGAGTTAATGAAACAAATGAAGGTACTATTAAAGTGTAAATTTTGAAGTTATAGAAGTAATTGATAGAGATGTAAAATTTGATGTCTTACAATTTTAGCTTTACTTTTTCCTGTTTTTTTTAGAGGAAATACCTTTGTACTGGTATTTTAAATGTATAATAATTTTAAATGTTTTACAATTATAAATGTAATTTATAATTATAAAAAAACCATATTATTTTTAGCTGTGTATCCAAAACAATCCTGAGGAGGCACGTCAAATGTTACTTCAAAACCCACAACTTGCATATGCTCTACTGCAAGCTCAAGTTATCATGAAAATAGTTGATCCTAAAGTTGCTGAGGTGATTTTTTAAGTTGAATTTATAACATTATTTAAAAACTTCAAAAGTTTTTTCAAGATTTTTTTAATTATTTATTTTAAAATTTTGAAGGAATTATTTCAAAGCTTTTCAAAAAAAAAAAAAAAATTTTTTTTTTCGTCTAGTTTAAATTGTTGTATTTAAAAATATTTTGTTATACTTAAACTTGACTTATTATACAATACTTTTGTTATATTTATATTTGACTATCCCCTAGTGTGAAGTTTTTTAGCAAGAAATTATTTTATTTAAATGCAAATGATCATACCTTTTACAAATTTTTTTATCCTATGTTTTTATTAGTGTTAATATACTGCAATTTACTACAATTTTGTAATAACACTAATAAACAATTTTGGTCAATAGTACAATTTTGACCAAAGTTATTTTAGTCTCACATTTTAAACAAAACAAAAAAACTGTATTATTCTCATATCTTTTACAAGTGATTTTGTGTTAGCTTTGATAAAAAAATTTTATTAACTTGAAAATATTAATATCATTTTGTTTTTTTTTTGTTTGTTTTTTTCATATTTATTATTTCAGATAAACAATATTTTTAAACAGAGAGACTTTAAAATTTCAAAACATTTGTTTAGACATTGACACTATAATGATTGTAGTTTTATATAATAATAATAATAATAATAATAATAATAATAATAATAATAATAATAGTAATAAATTAAATATAAAAATAATATAGTTAGTATAAAATAATATAAAAATAAATTTATAGATAATTTAAATAATTATTCAGAAATGGTTATTATGTAGTTATATAGTTGCACAAAGGAAATATTTTGTTAGATTTTTCAAGGGTATTGTTATGACTAACATCTTATGAATTAACTTGTTGTTTTGTTTACTTGTTTATATTTATACAAATATATAAGCCAACAGTCGAATGATGCTAAATAAATTGTCTTAAAAGAAAAGTTTTTATATTATCTATTTTTTCAAAAATTTAAAAAACTTTATTTAAAAAAATACAAAATTGCTTTTTGGTAATTAGTTTTAAAAATGGTTTATCTGTTTGATAATAAACTTTCTTCAAATATTGCCTTGACTATTCAGTTCATAAATTAAACATGCCTTGTCTAATTCACTTAATGAAGTGTACTAACTAGAAGGTAAACCACAGGAATTTGTGCTCCATCTGTAAACTGTCATTTTGCCTAAGTTTAAGAGTCTCCATTTCTGAATTCTTTTCTTTTCTTGGTAGGCAGTTAAAGTTTAGTATTAGCCTAAGGTTTTTTTTCCCTCTGTTTTTCTATGTTTTCTGCCCTCTGTTTCTCTAGGTTCTCTGCCCTCTGTTTCTAAATACTTTCTTTTTATTTGAATAAAAAGTAATCTTCTGTCTATTCTGTAACATTTTATTTGAATAAAAACTAATCTTCTATCTCTAAAACTAATTTCTTTTAATTTTCTCCAAAACTCTTCTGTCTATAAGTAACTATAATAACTTTTCCTAAACTCACGGTATGTGTAAAATCAAACCTTTTTTTGATTTTACACATATTTTTTTGAAAAAAACACTTTGTGTGAGAGTATACTATATATTGCTACTTAAAATGCTAGAAAATATACTTTCTCTCAATAATAATTTTTTATTTTTAGAAATTGTTGGATATAGACACCAGCATTATCAGATACATATATTCGCTGTTTAAATATTGCTACAATATCAAAATGTATAAATAAATATTTACATTGCTGGGGCAAAAATAAAACAATAGTAGTCTTATCATTAAGCCCCGTAGTTTACATTGTTTTTTTACATTACAAGCAGTTATGTTATTAGATAATTTTTTTATAATACCATTAAAAATTAATTGGAATATTATTTTTTTAAATTTAATTAACAAAAGCTAAAAAACAAAAAAAATATGATACAACTTATTAAAAAACTATAAAAAGCTCAAAATGTACAAAAAGCAAAACAAAACAAAATTAAATATAAGAGCTGATTTGAAATAAAAAAAAACATTTTTTAAAGTAATTAATCAATAATTATTAATAGGATTAAGAGTTATTTTTACACTGTTTAATTTAATAATAACAAGAACAGAAAAAAGCAAACTGATAAATTTTTAGTTAATAAACATTGAGTATATTTAGTTTATTAAATAAACCTTTAGAGGCTGTTAAACTATTTATGTTTGAAATAATTTGTGCAGCATGTTTTTGTTTACTGAGTAGCTTTTTTATCTTGGTTGCGTTGGTGCTGCACCAAGCAATCTTCCCATAATTAAGGTAGCTGTGAATAAAAGAAAAGTATATGTTTTTTAAACAGTTTTAGTCAAAAACCTTTTAGTTTTAAATAATAAGTCAATATTTTTTGTTATTTTGTTTTCTATTATGCCATGAAAAAGAGTTATCAATACATAGATAGGGGTAATAGAATGTTTTTTTCGTGGAGTCCATGAAAAAAAGTGTATTCGGTTTTACTTACATTTAAGGATAGTTTATTTGACTTGAACTATTGTTTAAGACAAAAAAACAAGTTAATATATTTTATACTTGAAAGTGGTCCGAGTATTGATCCTTGAGGAGCACTGCATGTGATGTCATATATTTTGATTTTCCTTTGTTATACGATATACATTGTTTTCTATTTGTTAAGTAACTTTTAAACCAATCAATGTTTGAATTTTTTATGCCATAATGTTTTAGTTTAGCTAGAAGAATGTTATGATCAACTGTGTCAAACGCTTTGCTGAGATCTATGAAAACTCCTACTGTATATTTTTTTCATCAAATGCTTTAAGTATGTATAATGAATAAGGTGAATTATGGCATGGTCAGTGGAATGTCTTGAATTAAATCCGAATTTTTTGTTGTAAAGAATATTTTTCTATTTAGAAAGGAATAAAGTCTGTTGTACATAATTTTTTCTAGTATTTTTGAGAAATAAGGAAGAATTAAAATCGGTCTATAGTTTACAACTTTTGAAACAAAAATTGGTACAACTTTTGCAATTTTAAGTTTTTCGTGACAAACGGCTTGTTTTAAAGATAGATTAAAAATATGCAATAGTGGAATAGCTATATTTTTTATTAATTTTATAATGACGTGACTTCTGATATTATCATATCCTAATCTTTTTTTAGGTTTTAACAAAAACATTGCAACAGTTCTTTTTCCGTGAGTTCATTATTGTTCATTACATTAGTATTATTAGAATTTAAGAAAGATTGGAATTTTGCTTCTATGGTTTCTATTTTTTATGCTAAATTAGAGCCTACCTTAAAAAATACCAATTAAATTGTTCTGCAATTATTTATCTGTAATTGATTTATCTGTAATACATTCATTATTTGATTTAAGTTTGATTGGAAGGCTGTTCCGATCAAGATTTTTTTCTCCAGTTTTTTAATTATGTTCCAGATCTTTTGCGTTTCTTTTTTGTGTTTACTTAACTGTTCAGAATAATAATATTTTTTTAAATATCTTAAATTTGATTTAAAAAGATGCTTATAGTTTTTATACTTGGTTTCATTTTCAAGTGTTCTTTTTTTTGATAAATTTATTATATAACCGCTGTTTTTTTTTGTTTGTTTTTTTGGACGACTTTAGAATACCTTTTGTTATCCAAGGATTTAATAGCCTTTTTGTTTTGACTAATTTCGTAGTCATTTTTTTTGTGTGACTAATTTCGTAGTTTCCGTGAAAACTTTGTTATAAACTTTTTGAAACTTGTTAAGAAACATCATATGCTTTATTAACATTTGTAATTTCAAAAAGACCATTCCAATTTATAAAAAATAATAGGTGATGAAAATAGTTTATATTAGTTTCATTTATTACCCTAGTTGTTCTTTTCATTTTTTGTGGACTAATCTTATTGCACTTTTGTGACACTATAAATACTGGAAAGTGGTCAAAAATGTCTGTTATATATTATATATTCCTGTTTTAATTTTGGTATTTATGAATTCAATAGTGATTATTTGATCAATTGCAGTAGCACTTTCTTTGGTGGGTTTGAGTGGGTTTAATAATTGGTGAAATGTAACCATTCTGGAAAATATAGTTGAAAAAGTTTTTTATTTTTTTATTTACATCATAGTCAATAACATTGAGGTTAAAATCGTCCACAAGGTACACACTTTTATTTGATTTGATTTGGTTAAATATCGTTTTTACTTAATCTTCAAATAGTTTTATTGTTCCAGAAGCTGGCCTCTATATAACGTAGGCAATAATATTTTTCTCAATTTTTTTATTAACACCTTGTCTCTATCTGTTTGTCTGTTAACATCAAACATCTTGCAATCATTTTTTGAGTCACTTCCTGATGATGGATTTTCTTCAAATTTTGCATACACACTCTTGCTTAATGACAATACGATATTCAATAATTAGTTTTGCAATAAGTCAATTAATTTAGTTAATTAAGTTTGTTTTTTATATGAGAAGAAGTTTTTTACATTCAAAAAAATTTTCTTTATTTTTGATCCATGTTGACAGCCTATTTTTTGGAATGGCATATTTTATAGCAACCTTAGACTTTGACAATCCTTCTCCAATTTCCCTTAAAGCAGCGTATTTTTCTTTAATTGATTTTGTATTCATTTTTCTCTTTACTGCGACAGTAGCCATAATAAAATTATGGCTACTGTACATAGTAAGCACAACAAATTTTATTATAATACTGATATTGATTATTGTAACGCACGTAAGTATAACTTAAACAATAAACTTAATTAAACTATTATTATAGTTAACATTGCAGCAATACAAGGATTTCATTGCAATTTTTTTTTTTTAATATTTTTGCTCTAAAGTTTGAGTTATGGGAAAAATATTAGCTATGGGAACAGATAAAATGGTTCGACTTAACGGGTGTTCGAGTTAACAGGTGTTCGAGTTATCAAGCTGTTTTTATGTTGTTTGCTTTCAAAAATGTTGATTAACAGTTCAATTTAATAAAATCTGAACAAACTTAAAGTTTGCGAAATTGAATGAAAACTAAAATTCAATAAATAGGAGCTACTAGCTATTAAGTGACTGCTGAACAAACATTTAACTTTGGTATATAAAGAATATGTATTAAAGATTTGCAATTTGGCAACATAGCAATGCAGCGTTGAGCTTAATTTCATGCTTCATATGAACCCATTAGTAATTATTATATTTTTATAATATTTCACACAGTAACTATAGTAACTATTAACATCAAAATAACATATTTGCTACATTATAAATTAAACTTATGAGGCAGTTTGATGTACCTTATTATACAAAGTTTTGTAACAAACCAGTTTATCTTTAAACTGTATGTATATATATATATATATATATATATATATATATATATATATATATATATATATATATATATATATATATATATATATATATATATATATGTGTGTGTGTGTGTGTGTGTGTGTGTATATATATATATATATATATATATATATATATATATATATATATATATATATATATATATATATATATATATATATATATATTTGTGTGTATATATATATGTGTGTGTGTGTATATATATATATATATATATATATATATATATATATATATATATATATATATATATATATATATATATATCAATCAATGTGTTACACGCGAAATTATCACTTCATCTCTCCTCTGAAAAATTGTTGTTAATTTTTTGTATATATTTTTTTAAATATGCATTATGTTGAATTTAGGCAATTCTGCATCAACCTAGAGGAGAACCTCTTCCTATTAATCAATTAATGGAGCAAGCAGGTATTGGTCCTGGCTCTCAAAATGTACCTCCTCCCATAAAACAGGAATGGCGTGGAGATTTATCTCGTGATATTACTTTTCCTCCAAGAGGAGAAATATATAGAGGGCCTGCACCTGATATTAGAGGTGAATTTGGTCGTCCACCAGTCATGGAAAGAGATATGATGAGAGGGCCACCCCTGCACGAGAGAGGTTTAAAAAAAACTATTTTTACAAATATTTTTTATTTTAACATCATACTTTATTTTTCATTGTTAAATTGAAAAAAAAATTTTAATGTATTTAAGAATTTCGACCTCCTTCGATTGATGATCGTCGTGGTCCTCCGATAGATGACCGTTTTCGAGAATCAGGACCGCCTCCATTTGATCCTCGAGATCGACCTGTTGATAGGCATCCCAATGACCCAAGAGGTCCTCCTCCATTAGATCAACGAATGCGCATGGATGGTCTACCTGGGAGAGATGAAAGAGGAATTATAAGAGGTACTTACTACTTCCAATATATAATAATATAAATTGCACCAAATATACTATATATATATATATATATATATATATATATATATATATATATATATATATATATATATATATATATATATATATATATATATATATATATATATATATATATATATATATATATATATATATATATATATATATTAGGCCTTGCGATGAATAAGAACTGCGCAACGCATAAGCACGACGTGATTTTTGACGTCATTAAATTCTTTTTATTTGCTTTTCATATTTATCGACATTAACTGCACCAATTTACTTAATTACCGCAAAACTACTTTCGTTTATGTAGAAATGTTTTTATTTAAAAATGTTTTGGAATGTTTCGTTTTTTAAAATGTAAAGAAATTTGTTTATTTTCTCGACGTTTGTCACGTTTTGTCTATACTAAATGAATAAAAAACATTATAACTTAAATTTAAAAAAGATTATAAAATATGCTAATATTTGATTTTTTTTTTTCTTAAATATGTAATTTAAATTTTTTCAAATAATTATTTTTTCTTTTTAAAAAGTCAGCGAGTAATAAACTGGAAATTTTAATATTGTACGATTAAAAACTGTGCAATAGCTAATATTTTTACATGCGATTTTATATAATATTTATTTATTTTTATTTATTTTCATAAAGCGGTTGATAAGCACAATCGCTCGTTTTAATAAAAAACTTAAACGAACGTTTTGAATAGATTTTTAATGTTAACAAGGAATTTTATTTCTAGTAAAATAAAATAAAATGTTAGAATAAAAATCTTATAGGTATAAAAGAAATATTTCAGCGAAAAAATTATTCTTAAAAATTATTCGAAAAACTATTGACGTTCTATTTTTCAGCAGCTGTTCCTGAGCACGCTTCGTTGAGTTTCGGTAACTTTTAACATAAAAACGATCGTTATTATTTAAGTAATTTTTTTGAGTTACTTTTTACAAAAATTTTAATAACTGTACTTTTCTATTGAATCAAGTAGAATACGTTTTAATATTAATCCTTTTTTATTTTTTTATTTGCCCTCACCAATTTTTTAAATGTTTCCTCGAAATTACTCTTAAATACTTTAAATACGTCTAACAGTTAATAAATATTTTTAAATCTATGGAATAATTTTAAAACCTAACAAAACCCCGTAAAATAATTATTTAAGTTTAAAATCTAAAACTAAAAGAAAGTATTTTTGTTCAATTTTATCGGCAACTTTGCTATTGCTGAATAATTTTAATTAAATGTTAGCCTAAAAGATTTAAACTTTTTTTTTAATTTTTAAATTTTTTCTACTTGTAAATAATGAGCATATTTAATTTTTTTAAATTCAAACTTTTATTTCAACTGTGTGCAGTTTTTAAAATACTTTATTAAATGTTAAAATAATCGTAAATTACTTCATTAAAATTCCGCTCAAAAATATTTTTAAATATACTCAAACAAAAAATTTTTTGCTCGACGCAAATAGCCCTAGCTACACGCAAAATCGCTCTTGGACGACGTAAAGTTCACATCGCCCGACGCATTATCGCAAGGCCTGATATATATATATATATATATATATATAATATATATATACACACACTTACTTAAGCGTGTTTTGATAAGCATTTGCTCACTTTTTCTGCTTACCTTAAGCTATACCGTTTTTTTCTAAAAAGAAGAAAAAACGAAGAATGATGAATAAAACGATTGCTTCCCCATCCCAAACCCTCAGTCGATGTAGCAGCACTCCACTGCAAGTCAGGCTATTTGTCAGTCGATGTATGTACTGAAGCCCCCAGCAGCAGGCTGTTTTAGTATGACGTCAGATTGCTTACAATAGTACGCAATACTATTTGTATATATATATATATATTTATATATATATGTATATATATATATATATATATATATATATATATATATATATATATATATATATATATATATATATATATATATATATATATATATATATATATATATATATATATATATATATATATGTCCATATATCCATTAAGCAAAAATTGCAAGTGTAATGAGAATTCTGATCATCGCTATAATATGTTCACTTTTTTATATTAAATTTCAGATATTTTTGATATAATCCATTTATATAAGTTTTCTTTATATATTTGTATAATAATTTTGCAATACAAAAAGTAAATTTTTAACTAGAATTTTTGTTGTTATTTAGATGATCGAATAAATAGAGGTCCACCCCCATCTCGTGACAACCGAGACCCAAGACCAGGGCCTCCAATGCCTCATGAAATGAGAGGACCTCCACCAACGCATCATGGTGGGCCTTCTAACTTTAATGCTCCACCAACCAATCATGTGCCACCTCCAACAAGTCAATTTGATGGGCGTCCTCAGCAAAAGTTTACACCGAGCCAAGGTACTGAAAGTATGGTTGTTTTTTAAACATATTTTTTTAAAAATTTATTTATCAAAGTTTTTATGATCAATGCTAGTGTGTTTGGTTTTAGTTTTTTCATATTAATACAACTATAGAGTATTAATATAGAATTTTTATAAAATAATATATAAAAATTTATATCTAGATAATACCTAAACCTACTGTTGATGTATGCACTGAAGCCCCTACAGCCCCCTATTTAATAGTTTGACATAATCGTTTTCTGTAAGGTTAAGTGTACATTGATATTTATATACATACATACATACATACATACATACATACATACATTCATACATACATACATACATATATACATGCATACATACATACATACATACATACATTTATATAATTATATTGTTGCATATATTTATATACTTTGATTATAATTACTATTTTTTAGTAATCATAAGCAAAGTATATAATTTTTTTTTTACTCCATGCTTAGTTAAACTAAATGTTATATTCTATACTAAAGCCCCTCGAATATTTTAATGTATAGTTGCATCATATGCATTTCATGCAAGGGTTAATATGAGAAGATGTTTGTGTGTATATGTGTTTTTGTATATTATATACACTAGGGTGGTTCAAATTTAGGTCAAAATTTTTTACGACTAGAGTGGAAGTTTATAAGGTGCACAATTTAATGTATTGCATAATTTTTGATGTTAAACTTATAGATAAATTTAGATGAAGTTGGATTACCGCTCCCCTAATAATATAACTTTATTACGAGTTGCAGGTTGAGAAGTGGGAATAAATAAAAATAAAGTTAGCGTAATTTTAAACTTTGATTAAATAATCAACAATCAGCATTTTAAAATACTACTAATTACATTTGACGTTAAATCTTTTTTCTTTGTCCCTTTTTATTTCTTTTGTAAACATGGTTTAACAAGAACAAATCTTGTCTCTTCTTTTCTTTTGTTGATTTTCCAATCAGCTCTTTTACTAGATTTATGGTCCTCTCGGACGAATCATTAACCACATCTAGAGATTTATTAGTAGATTCAAACTCAAGATAAAAATCATTAAACTTCCAAAACTGCAAGGGGATCTTAAGCCACTGCAACTCACCCTTTCCATGTTCCATCTTATCAAAGATGAGCCAAGATTGCTCAGTTATTAGAAAACAAAGAGATGATCTTGTGAAAAGTCTAGAGAGTGAAGAACCTTTTTATTGACCATAATATGTTTAAGTGGATACACTATTGGTTTGATGGAAAAACAAGTGGATACACTTGATTTTATTGTATAATGATGTGGCAATATATTCTCTGTTTGGGCAATGTTTATCTGCTAATGCAAGGACAACTAAGGCAGGATCAAGGTACCAGTTGTGTCTGTCAGATGGTTTTATTGCTAAAGTAGCTCCAAGAAGATTTATATCCATAAACCTCTTTATCTGCTACAGAGCTTTCATTTCCTAAAAATATATATAACAATATTAGATTAAGTCATCAATTGGAAAATTAACTCATCATTTTTTACGCTTTTTTCTTATTTATAATGATTATTTTTAACCTGATATGGCGCAGCAGTTGCCAATACTGCTCTAAGAAAGCATTGAGTGTAAAAGATACTGACAAACAACCATTTCACAAATATCTTCTTTATTTTCTTCTGATAAACTTGGAATAGCTTTCAATAGTAAATAAATTTTAAGATAATACAAGGCTTTTGACATGAATCTTGCATGATGTATTGAACCATGAATACGAAATTTGAACCTATCTTTTTGAGAAACTGCAATCAAAGATAGTTCCGCTAACTCTTGATAATCCTTTCTTGATTTACTATCCTAAAAATAAACGATTTTTTATATTTATGATTATGATTTATTTTATTATGATTGTGTATACAGATTGTTTAAATTATTAAAGCAAGCTACTATAAAACTATAATTAACCTTTTTGTAGATCCTGTTATCTATTACATCTCTATAGAATTTTTCAGCCTCACGATGTTGTTTATTTATCCAAGTTCCATTTGGAGTTTTAATCCTCTTCAATGTAACAATGTCTTTTTCAAGATCATTCCAGACAGATTTCAGGTGTTTAAAGAGCTGGTTTTCTGGACCAGACATTTTACTACTGGGATATATCTTGTTAAAGTGGGTAATATGTCTTTCCAATATATGATGTCTACAGGCAAGGAAAAGTAGTGGCCTTCTTAGCTTATCGGCCATTCTTGTTATAACTCCTTGGTGCTTTCCAGTGTTGGAAGCTGTAGTATCAAAGCATATACACTGTATATGATGACTAAGGCCAAAAGAATCTAATAGATTATAAACTGCTTTGAACTGATTTTCCCCAGAACCTGACTCAATATGAGGAATACCTAGGAGCTCAGTTTTCCCATTCACTTTCACTAGTACTGCTAATCTTTCTCTTGTAACTGAAACTTTATCTGTATATTCTTTAAATATTTTCCCATCAAAGTGAACAGAAATCTGCTTATATTTGGAGTCAGTCAAGTCTTTTATTTACTGTCTAATTTTTTGAGCTTCCAAATTTATTACTTTATCTAAAGCTCAAAGAGATGATGATTTGGACACAACAAATTTATTTATTTCTCCTCTTGAAATCGATTATGATAGTATAATAACACTGCTTATGATAGTAGTGCGCTGATTGATAGAAAGACCTTCTCCTGTAGTAGTTAGTGCTGTACGCTTTAAAATATTTTTAGGCAGTAATAAACTTTGCTCTTCTTTATGAGAATCGTCATTTGACTCACTTGTAACAGACTCGAGGCATTCTGAGCTTAAAGAAAAAATAACTAACATCACCTTGTGAGCTATAAGTTGTATCTAAATCTCCTATTTTTTCTGATGATTCCCTTTTAAATTTTTTTTTTCAGATCTTTTTGCAGACTTTTTAAAGCAGTTATCAGAAATGCCTAGACAACCTTGTTTTTTTTTCCTTCTGCATTTTCAAGAACATAATGTCCATACATTTACTTTCTTCAGTTCTTTTTCTATCCATTTTTATTTCATCAATCATGATTTGTATGTCGTCTCCTAACCAAATACCCTTTTAGATTCTATTAAGAAATTCTATCTATCTTTTATTGCTATTATTATCTACTTTTATTGCAAAACAAAAAAAAAATAAAAAAAATCCTATATATAAAACAAGGGTCTGTGCACCTTATAAACTTCCACTCTAGTTGTAAAAACTTTTTTGACCTAAATTTGAACCACCCTAATATACACTTTCATACACAAATATCTTTGTGTACTTAGCCTTTCATGAAATGTCACTGATGACATCATACTGAAATAGCCATCTGCAAGCGCTTCAGTACATACATCATCTGAGCTTTTGGGTTTAAGCAAGTGCTATCTATATATGAAGGACTTCATTATGGTGTAGAAAGTTTTTTTTTTTTTTCCCATTGTTTTTTCTTTTTCTGAAAAAAGCTTAGTTTGAACTTAATTCAACATTTAAAATCATAGAGTGTAAATATATTAAGCCAATGCTGACCTATATCCGCAATAGTATGTATTTTTTTATGTTTTTGCAATATATTATGTGATAAAGGTTGCGGCAGCAACCTTTACCACATAATATTTTATTTTTTTCATTATTCTTTGTTTTTTCTTCTTTAAAATAAAGACTGAAGGAATTAGGTCGGTATTTACAAAAATTAGTAAAACACTTATCTAAACATCTTATACTGCTGAGTTAAATGAGCATGATGATGTCATACTCACCTAACGTCAAATAGCCTGCTGCTGGGGGCTTCAGTACATACATCGACTGACAAATAGCCTGGCTCACAGTGGAGTGCTGCTACTGAGGGTTTGGTATGGGTCAGCAACCTTTTCATTCATTATTATTTGTTTTCCCTCATCGTTTTCTAAAAATGCTCACTTAATTTAAGCTAGCAAAAAAAGTGAGCAATTGCGCATATAAATATGCTATAGTAGATATATATATATATATATATATATATATATATATATATATTTTCTACAGTCTGTTTCCCCATTATCAGGTTTATCAGGAAGAAAACTGTAGAAGATATTTAAATAAATGCTTTTACTGATTTTTTATTGCTCTGTTCTTTAAGAACATGGATCTATTTGTACTATACACTAACTTAACTCGCACATACACACATGCGTGTGTGTGTGTGTGTATATTATATATATATATATATATATATATATATATATATATATATATATATATATATATATATATATATATATATATATATATATATATATATATATATATATATATATATATATATATATATATATATACTATTGCAAAAATAATAAAGAGAACTGCAACTGAAGTATTTTGAAAAAATGCTTCTTGTGACCTTGTTTGAAGAAAAAAAAAATTTTATTTAACAAATTTCCTTAAATAGGATTATAATTTATAATTAAATTTTAATTTTTATCAAAGCTTTGGCGCTCAAAAGGTGTGGTTATATAAAATCGTAGAATCCCTCGTTTACAGTTTCATAAAAATGGTCACAAAATTAAAAAATATATTTTTTTTAAATTCGTTTTAACGGTTTCAATCTCATCAATCTATTAAGAATGGTTTTAAAAACTTGATGTAAAAATGACTTCGACTGAAAACTTCTTAAAAAGTGCAATGTTTGTTAAAATAAACAATATAACAAAGGCTTATATTGTTTATTTTAACAGAAAGTTATTAAAGCTTAAAATAGAGTTAAAAAATATGGTTGCATTGCCATAAGTCGTTTGTACAATATGTGTATACAAGATAAAGACTAATCAAATTTAAAAAAATTATTTTAGGTGTATCAAAGTCTTATAAAATTTTTTTTTTTTTAAAGTCATAAAATTATTATTGAAATCATGTGTTATGAAATAATCGTGATATTGTCTAGGAAAAGCGCGGTTCAAAAGCGAATATTTGGAAGGTTTTATTGATTATTTTTTTTGTTGCACGTATAAAATGCTAGCCCTCAATGTTGTAAATAAATGAAGTTTGTATAGGTATTTCGTTACGTTAATTGATAGGTTTGATCTATTTTTATAAAATGTGAACTTCTTGCAATTTTTGCGAGTGCATCACAAGATTCATCTACCTTAAATAGTAATGTAAATAGTATTTTGATGAAATTTAAAAATGGTTGTTTAAAGACTTTGTATAATTTATAGTTTAAACTAAATTCGTGTTCATCTTTTTTAGAAACAGAAGCATCTACTGGAACAAGCGGGACACCTGGTCCCAATAAAGAAGAAAAGGTTTCTTGTTTGCATTTTGTTTATAGATCTAAAATAAATCTTGTAAAAAATCTTATATAAGCTCTAATATAAGATGATACTTTTCACAGAACTGAACATCTTTTAAAACAAATTTTATTTTAGGAGCGTTTGATTATGCAAGTTTTAAATCTAACAGATGCTCAAATAAATATGCTTCCTGAAGATCAACGAGAAAGTATACGTTTATTAAAAGCGCAGTTTGCTAATAAAAGAAACTAAATTAAAATGCTAGTAAGAATTCGATAAAACAAAAGATAAAGGAACTTATCATCCGGGTTTTCTTTTTACGTTTCATTTTTTTTTTTTTTTTTTTTTTTTTAATTTTCATTGAAAGATGAAAAACTGACCTATATTAGTTTAAATTATATTTACATAATAATATAATATAAGGAATGTAATCGGAGTTTTTTTAATTTGGCATTTTTTCTTTCTCGCTATTTTAAACTGACGATAACGTCATGCTAATGTTGTCTATTTTTATATTATACGGGTATAGAAGTAGTGTCATAAATTGGGATAGTGTTATAATTATGACCTAAATAAAAAATTGAGCCTTTCGTTTTATTTGATGAATTTCTGTTAATGAGTTATGTTTAGGTTAACATTCTTCTTTTCGTATCTTTACGTGAGTCTATTAAACCTCAGAAGTTTTGCTGAGATCAATAAAAAATGATATATTTTATCCAAAAATTTAAGAATATTATGATTAAGATGAACAATTGATCAGTACCAGACCCTTTTCAAATCCTAATTTTTTTATTATAAAGGCGTTACTAATATTTGAAAAATGATGAAATCTTTTATAGACAATATCGCAACCGTTTTAGAAAAGGATTATATCTCCGAAATGCAAAAAAAAAGAAAAATCCTATTGCTCGATACGTCTCTTTTCTATAATGGTTTTCAACACGATGGAATATACACCTTTTTTAAAGTTATTAATAACTCATTCATTATAAATAATCGAAGCATAATATTTTGGAATAATCGAAGCATAATATTTTAAGATAACATGGATGATATTCCATAGTTTTTACTGCCAAAATTTCTCATTTTTGGCAAAAATGGACATACGTTCCTTTTCTATATCGGGTGCAATATGTTCTAATATTTTGAAAAAAATTCCAATATGGAGATAGGTCCTGTTATTTAAGACTAGATTTTAAAACAGAATCCACGCTGGTATTTTTATGTTTATCCTTTTTTGTTTTTAAGAGTGACTACAAAAAATATGCAAAAGTAACTATACAAAATATAAAGTGGTTTTCTTTGATAACAATTTGATAAATTGTTTAGTATATCCTTCCAGAAAAATAAACCAAGAAATTCTCAATTCTTTGACTCATGGGAAAACATTCAAACTATAGTGAGTGATGACTGATTGCTGCTTCTAAAAAAGTAGTTACGATTTGTAATCCGGTCAAAATAGTCAAAAAACTTGTGGTTAGTAAGCGACCAGTTTTTTTTTTTGTTTTTTTTTGCCGATAATAGCCCAAAAAAAGATTTTTAGCCACTAACTTACCTTACTAACTACCTACCTAACTACGTTAACTTACTAACTTACCTACCTAAAAAAAAAAAAGGTCCGACATTTGCCGAATACTATAAATCCAATTTTTCCGACTCTAGTGTCCAATTTGCCGACTTAAAAAATTCGTAGGGGGACTAGACACTCCCCTACGCCCCCCTCCCTCGGGACGGCCTGATTGTATGCCAGCATCTAAATATAGCAAGCATGTATGTTTATGTCCATAATATGTATGCATAAAGCATATCTCGGAAGCTTTTATTCTTTCTGGACTAAAAGTTTGGAAGCTATGTTCGCAGTAAACATGCAAAGTTCACAAGTGACTAATTCTTCTATTTCAAATTTAGTAATACATAGTTCAAATTTATTAATACAAATAAAAAGTAAAAACTGTCGGGTAAATTTATATATGGGATTGTTCATAAATTTCTCAAACTAATTGACAAAACAAAAAAGACCAAAAGTTTTCCCTCGCACAGTCTTTAATTAAATCAGGTATATAAATAGCCTGTAAAAATTGCCGTGCAAGAGAGCAAAATGATCTCCTACATCTATTTTTGAAATAAGTTTTGCGTTGCGTAATTTATGGACAATCCCTAAGCTGTATTAAAGATAATTTTTTTTATTTTGTATATATAACTCTTCTGGGTTATTATTTGAGGTACTCAACGCACTTAATGCAAGTTTTCATACTTTTTGACTTGCTTGTTTTCTGTGGCAACAAACAAACAAATTTTCCGGTCCGCAACATATTTACTATGGTTAGTTAATGATTCAACATAATAGCATCAACATCATTTTATACCAAAAAATGATACCTTAACTATAAAGCAAAATTTTATACATGAACATGCTCACGTTATTATTTTTCTGTTCTCTTTCCCGTTCCCGTAAAAAACGGTTGAGTGAAAACTCACCTTAACTGCTTGAAAAGTGTTAGAAAGCAAATTGCATCACGGAAGGAGGGAGGGAGGCTGTGACATCTCGTACAGAGACTTTTTTTGTATGCGTGTGCGTGCATGCATGCTTATGTTTGTGTGTGTTTGAGTGTAGTTAAGATGTTCCGAGAAGTCCTTTTGACAGAGCACCGCGAAGGAGCATTTAACTAGGAAGCTCATGCCGCCCTTCTTACCAATGTCGCTTATTCTAGAACTCTAACCACTGCGCCACGGCAGATTAAACGATTACTACTTGTTACTAAAATGTTATTACGAGAGTGGGGGGATGCTGTCAAAAACGGTCAAAAATTGCGCGAATTTATGGACGATTCTAAAACTGCGAAACCATTATACCAAGGAGATATAATAGCTTAGCTAAGCTATTATACCTCCTTGATAATACATACAAAAAATAAGAGAGTGGGACGGTCCTAATAAACTCTGTTAGGTTTGGAAATACAATGAAAAGTTAAAAAGCGTCTTTGCTTGTTTTTATAGGTACCTAAGAATATACACTCAACATATTTTTAGGTTTTTACTGTTTTTATAACTGTTAACAGTTATAAAAACTGCGTTTTGAATATTTTATAAAAAATTTAAATGTGGAAATATAGTTACTCACTCAAAAAATATAAGTTAACTACACTTTTAGCAGTTTTTGTGGCTATACCAGTACAAGGGTCATTTTTTTAAAAGTTTTCAAAAATGTTACATTCCAGTCAAGACGCTATATCAATGTGATGTCAGAATGATATCAAAACCTTCTCAAGCTATGATATCAAATAATAATATCATTATGATATCATAGTAATATCATAAGTTTGGAAAATAAACTTAATTTATAGCAGAATTTTATATATAAATTATAAAGCACAATAAAAGTTTTCCTCTTTTAATATCTAAATAATAAGTTTTGATTTATAAACTCATATTATGATATCATTATGATATCAAGAATTTGTCATGCTATGATGTGAAATGCAAGTTGCTTTCACTCATACTACTTTGCCGGATAGCGTCTTACAAGAATTGATAATTACTTTAAAAATCAATCAATCATTTATTTCACTTTATAAAACAAAATTAATACAAAGCTAGGATCTGTCACAAACAGTTATGTAACTGACAAAAACGTGACGACCCGTAATATTAACCGTAAATTTGAAAAAGTATATAAACTAAATAGTAAATTAATAATGATAAAATACAGTAATAACCATTGTAATAATAACAGCAGTGGTTTACAACAGTAACAATAAAAAAAAATCTCAATTATAGAGATAACAATAATACTCCAACAATAACAATAAGGGCATAGAAGTGGTTGCTTAGGGAAGTGCTATAAAAATACCATATACGCTATACCTACATTTCTAGACTCGGTCACTCAAACACACACACACACACACACACACACACACATATATATATATATATATATGAGTGTGTCTTTAAATATATAATATTTAAACACGCACATATATACACAAATATATTGCAAAATATATGAAGAATATGCAACATCGCCTATTCTCATTTGAAAACACTCTAACACTATTCTAACCGTATAAAGACTAAAAAATAACTAGAGTTATTTTTTAGTCTTTATACGGCTTAGATTTTAGTACTTATTTAAAAAAATCTGTATTTAAGATAATTAAGAATTTAAGATAATTAAGAATTTAAGATAATTAAGAATTTAAGATAATTAAGAATTTAAGATAATTAAGAATTTAAGATAATTAAGTATTTAAGGTAATTAAGAATTTAAGGTAATAAGGAATTTAAGATAATTAAGAATAACATTATTTTTGGTAATTGATTGTGCAAAAAATCAGGCAGCATCACTTGCTTTCATTGACCTATATTTACAATTCATAATTAAATAACCTATTCAAAATATTAATATGAACATGTTTTTTAAGTACATATTAGTAGTAATTTTTAATTACATAGTAGTAGTAGTTTACGCTGTGATAGACAGACCCAGTAAATGTGTTGTTTTGCACTCTATTTGTTATAATATTACAGTTATATTTGATTACTTCGCCATTAATTGATTTGATATTCAGCCATTAATTGAAAGCTGTTTTTGCTGTTACACTTTCAATTGAATGAAAGTTCCATGCATCTAAAATTGTGTTTAAAAAAAATGCTTCCTTTTATTAAGAGGGAGCATTTCTTTTTTAACATTGTTGCAGCTTTAAAAGTCCTAAAGTCCTTTTTGATAACATAGAGCTTTCTGATTGATAATATAGTCTTTTTGGAGAACACTTAATATTTTAATTGTTACAGATTAAATATTTTTGGGCAATGTTTAGAATAAAATAATATACATATAAATTTTCTTTAGTGTTCTGTATATTTCTTTCTGGCTGTATTTATTGAAATAGTAATACTAAAAAAAGTTGTACAATGACATGTTCTATTATGAGTCTGTGCATGGCCTACTTAAATTACACGGCCTGATTTGTTGCATTTTCCGTAAAAAATTAAGAGGCCAGTTTTTTTTTACGGCTTAAGTATAAAAACTTAAATTTTGTTATGGTTAAGAGTCTTGTTTGCACTATAATTGTTTTTTTTTTTTTTTTTTTTATTTTATTAAAATGGTTTAATGTTAGTTAGATTTTCTTTGATTACTTACATTATTTTGTGCTAGATTTTCTGTTAACTGATTGCCTGCTTCAGTTTATTCCAATAACTAAGAATACTGAAATAGGCTTTCAGATAGCTATATCAACACATATTAACATGCTACTAAAAATAATCTTACATATTGCTAAAACTACCCACAAATCTCC